ACCCCGCATTAGTATGATATTGTCCGCTCTGAGCCAAGCTCTCACGGATTTGTTTTTGGGCACCTCCCAAAAGAACCTGGGCTCCGATACCACATGTTGGGACTGCGCGTGCCCTCACCCCCACCCCGCATTAGTATGATATTGTCTGCTCTGGGCCAAGCTCTCACGGATTTGTTTTTGGACACCTCCCAAAAGGCCTCATACTAATGGGGTTGGGTGAACCTATATATCTTGCTCCATTTTTTCTTCTCCCTCCGGTGTGGGACTTGGAGGAATCCCCAACACTTGTCCAGTCCAATTCTTAAAACTATAGTATCACCTTTATTAAAAAGAAAATCGCGAGTATATTTCTAATAATACTAAAGTGCATTTTCAAAATTAATTTTGTATAATTAATAATTTATTTCATACAAGATTATTAGGATGTACAGTATGGCTTTGTCAAAATCAATTTGGTACTAAATTATGTATATGTGACATTTTAGTAATATCTGATGTAGTACCCATTCACCCTTAGTGACAAATATTGTTTCACATCAGCTTATGACCACACGAAATATATAATCATGTGTGATTTGAAACTTCTACACCTATATAACAAACTCTGGTTTAATCTCTTATAGGCTAAGATTATAATTCAAATTAGGTAACTAATAAGTTATTCTTTTATTTGTATGGAAAGCACTATAACTTAGTTGTCATTGACTTTGACTATTGACTTTGTTAGGTTTGTTTGCATTCGTCCATTAGAGTGGCCGGGATGATTGTTATTGCTCCGCGGACCCTCACTCTGGTTGTCATTGACTCATAGTCTTATACTCGGGGAATATTTTTGGTTTGATACAAGAGAAAAGGTCACCCAAACACAAATATCCCCAAAAACAAATCCATGCAAAAGTTGACCCAAACACAATAAACAATAAGAGACAATATTTTAAGGTCGAGAACTCTTCTAACGTGGAAGAGTAAAAATCCATGACACCCTTCTGTCTCACCAACTCCAATAGCACGAAAAGAGAGTACAAATACGCAAGCACCACAGTGATATCTAGCCCTTAACAATACTACAAAGGCATTAGATTTAAAACATCAACACAAAGATGTAAAAACATCTACAAAACCAGCATTTCTGTTTTGAAGTTTATAACACAACGTAACAGTTAGAATTAGATCTTCACCATTATGGGATTCAAACTACAGTGGTTTTAGGTGTCATAGTATGACACTGATCCATTTGAGACCAATTTGGTACTCTTCAGTATCGAGTCCTCCCTAGCGGCCAGGGTGACAATCGAATATCAAAATGGTAGCAAAATTGCAAAATTTGCCTCGTCTCCATAGATGTAGAAGTCCAATAATGAGTGCAGTAGATGTTAACCAAACAGCAGACTTATATGATTAATTAACCATACTAGCTTTTATTTAAATGTGTAGCTAGAATTTGTTGAAGTTGGAGAAGAAGGCCATAGACGCCAGACAAGGCAACAATGCAATGCAATATTTCAAGAAGGATGTCCCAAACAAGCACGAGAAACAAGAACACATTACCGCGGTCAATGCAACAATTCCTGCAATGGCCATTCTCCTTTCTGATCCGAACGTGGTTGTGAAAAGACGGTCCAGAATGTAATTTTTCATCTTCATACATTCATCGCTGTAATTTTTCTGCTGCTTGTCGCCGCCATTAATGGCTTCCATTATTACCTCTTCTTCTTCTTCTTCTTTCACATTATGCTCTTGGAGTCTCATCAGACCATGAATGGCCACACCATCTTTAGGATCATGAATAGAATCTAAATCTTGGGTTTTCACTACATTATTGGTTGTAAGATCATCAAGAATAATAGCAGGATATGTAGATTTCTTTTGACCATCATCATCGTTATCTACACAGCATGTAATTTCCATTTCATCTTTTGCTGCAGAAACATCGAATTTCGTCTCAATCAAATCCCCCGTAGCATTCGGAGGGCTTTCTTGATCTTCTGGAATGGTGGCATGAACACCACTTGCTGGGCTCTCCAGTTCTTCATCATTGCTCGCCTGCATATCGGTCTGGTTGTCTCTGTCGTTGGATTCCGAGGACAGAGACGACCCATTAAAGTGATCAAATCGTTTGATTATTTCAATTTAGCTAGCATCAATTCTACATTGTCATCTACCAGGACAGAAATCATCAATTTTTTTATTTGTTTTTATTATTGAAATGTAAAATAAAATATAAACTGAATTAGCTAACCGTAAATTCACGTGTTGTTGATGATGCGTGAGAGGGGAAGAATCTGGTAGGATGAGTTGAGCCGAATTCTTCGGCAAGTCCTCATCGTCGCCGATGCCGTCGGCCTCCGCGCCGCCGTCCTCCTCCGCCTCCTCTGGGGTGTTATCGACCTCGTCAACGGGTTTCCTCCGCCTTCGGAAAACTGAAGAAAGAATGACAGTGGCCATCAACCCACCGACCAGTACCAGAATCCCGCCGCTATTGCCCAGGTTTAGCTGCACCTTCGTCCTCGCCCTCCCCTTCCCGCCGTCTTGCCGCCGCCCTCTGCTCTCCCCTTTCTCCTGCATCTCCGTCATGACCAACTAAAAAACAAAGACTGTCAAATTCAGTAGAGCATATATAAATCAACATCTACCGATTGATTGATTGACGGAGAATTCGGAATTTAAAATATTACCTGGGAATTGTCGATCATTGACGGGGAAGGGCAACCGAGTGCTCTCCAATTTTTATTTGTACTTAGGGCTGGGAATAACATTAGACATTAGTGTTAGCGTTTTGGATAAAATTTTAACGGTGCAGATTACTTTGAAAACGCTAACGCTAAACGCTGCCCGTAGATAGCATTTTCAAAACGCTAACGCTAATCGCTAACGCTATTCCCAAACAGGCCCTTAATGGAAAAAAAAAAAGGAGAGAAGAAAAATCAAAAAAGTGTTGATCGGTACCTTCTATTATGAAATAATGACTACCGGGTACCTCTGGTTTTTAAAATATACTATGAGGTACCTCGTAGTTTTTCAATATTTTAGGTACCTCGTAGTGTATTTTAAAAATTAGAGATACCCGGTAGTCATTATTTCAAAATAGAAGGTACATACCAGTAGTTTTTTTTGGAAGAAAAATAGAAAAAATAATCTTTTCTCTTGTTTGGTTTAAACAAAACAAGGAAAAAAGAAAATAGAGGTGTAGATTAGTGGGACTTAACACACCGTATGATGACCACGACACCGCCAACACAACAAAGCAAACTTGGTCGTGATCACACCACCAGTGTGACAACAACTAGGTAAATCTCACAAGAGTAGAGTCTGAGGAGAGTGTGAGTACACAGACTTTACCCCTACTCGAAAGTAGAGAGACTGTTTTCAAAGAGACCCCCGGATCAACGTCGAAAGTTGCATTGCTTGACGAATTGCTACTTCATTAATTAAAGAAGCGCAGATAGTCACACCACCTGTGTGACAAAATATCATTAAAGAATTTGTCTCAAATCAATCAAAAAATAATTGATTTCAATTTGAAGAAATCATATTAGTTCACACATTTACACCTCATTATTTTTTTTCACACCCCCACAAAATATATTTTTATCACTCCATATTTACACCACTAATAATAGATGTTTGTATTATGTTACTCCATGCGTTCAAAAATTTCTGTTTCGATTTGACATGACACGAAGATTAATAGAAATTACAATTTTTGTAAGATTTTCCATGCTTGTTTTGTTGTGATAAATAAAGTCAATAGTGTAAAAAAGGGATTATAATCGAAAATTCATAATAAAAAAATTTTAAAAATTGAAAGAATCGAAAAGATACTGAAAATTATTGGAAAAAACGAGAAAACTAAACCGAAAAGTATTGTACAGAAGAATACCACTAAAATACTGAATCCTATCGAATCGAACATTCGGTTTGTTATTTGGGAATGGTACAAGGTAATTCGACATGCCCAAAGTCCGAACTAAATATATATACTAAAATATTATAAATATAATACAATATTTTTATATTCTTCATTAAATAATAAGTTTATTTTTAATATTTGGTTCAAATTTGATTATATGAACATTGTAATTTTATTTGTGCTTTAACTTTTTGTAGCTGAATATAAAATTATCAAACGCAAATTTGAAATATCATTTTGTTATCATCCATTCACTTCATAAGCATTATATGCATTTAAATTTTAATTTTTTATTTATTTGTGTTACTTTATTTTTATATACTTTGATTCGCAAAAAATAATAATTTTGCAACATTTTGAAGTTTAAATTGGATGTCTATGCATTGATTCTTGATTTGTATAATCTCATTTAAAGACATTATAAACGATTCAGCCTATTCTCATTTGATATCGATTCAGTTTCAATTCGAGATGAAAAAATTAATCACATTTAAAAATACTGTAAATGATCCGATATCATAACGATTCACTATCAAACCATGTTAATTCGGGTTTTTTACTCCCTAATTACATTATCCAAACCAAACGTGACAACACTTCGTATGAAATATTTGCACCAAATAGCACTAAAACTTAAGTTATTTGTCTAAATAACAATTAGATTGTTCTTTTCTCTAAATAGCACTTAATAATGTTCATAATGACCAGTGATGACAAACATATTTAATTGAATAATGACTAAAAGTGCTATATTGGAAAAAAATATATGTAATGCTATTTAGAGAAAATGATTATGTTTTAGTGCTATTTACGTAAATTCCTCACTTCGTATTTGGGTTGGATTTGGCAGGCCTACAAGTATGTTTATTGGGCCAAGTCATTGTATTATTGTAACAGTTATGGACTGTGGGTTTTATTGGACGTTAACGGATTTCAGCCCATTAATCTGAAACCCTAGACATTTGAAGGATATAATAGCTCCGCTGCCACCGGATCTTCATTTCGGCCGGTGTTTCGTTGGGAAAATGGTGTCTCTGAAGTTGCAGAAGCGGCTCGCCGCCAGCGTGCTCGGTTGCGGAAAGGGGAAGGTCTGGCTCGATCCCAATGAAGTCAGTGAACTCTCCGTTGCCAACTCGCGTGAGTTTCGAAACTCAACGTTTCTGTCGTTTATTTTCGTATTGCGTAATTGGATATTTCTACATTACGTGATTTCATTGTGTTTTTCGTCGCTGATCGAAGCGAAAAATTTGGAATCTTCGTATTATATGTTGCTTGTTGATGTATCAAATACTGCAAAAAGTTGAAATATTCATATAGTTACGCTCTTGTTGATGTTTGGAATTTTGCATAAATTGAAATCTGCAGGCCAAAATATCAGGAAATTGGTGAAGGATGGGTTTATTATCAGGAAGCCTACAAAGATCCACTCCAGATCTCGGGCACGCCGGATGAAGGAAGCGAAGAGAAAGGGTCGTCATTCTGGATATGGTTAGAATCCGAACTAATCTATTACAAACGTATCATTTTACCTCAGTATATTAATAAAATAGTCAGTTTTGCTTGAGAAGTGGAACGCAGGAGCTGTATCAGTTGTTTGAGACCTGGTTTTGTACATCTGTTTTGTTGTCCCTTAAGGTAAACGCAGGGGTACAAGGGAGGCCAGGTTGCCTACTAAAGTCCTTTGGATGAGGAGGATGAGAGTGCTTAGGCGCTTACTTCGCAAGTACAGGGAATCCAAGAAGATAGACAAGCACATGTACCATGATATGTACATGAAAGTGAAGGGAAATGTCTTCAAGAACAAGCGTGTGCTCATGGAGAGCATCCACAAATCGAAGGCCGAAAAGGCCAGAGAGAAGACTCTATCTGATCAATTTGAGGCTAAGAGGGCCAAGAACAAGGCTAGTCGTGAGAGGAAGTTTGCTAGGCGTGAAGAACGATTGGCCAAGGTTATATTCTGACTCAACCTCACATAATGAAAAGATTAGCTCTCTGTCTACAAATGATGTGTATATTTTTTGCTCAAAGCTTATATTTTTTTCTTTAATCCAAATCTTGGTGTTGATGGTTTTTGTTCTGAGTTTTCTATTTACGATATGCAATTTTAGTTGATTTCATATGATCATAATACATGTTTACAATTATGATGGTTCTTACAATTACTTTGTATATCGTTGTTTTCTTGATCAAATTTGAGTTATAACAACTTGATGTAAGTGCATTATCATTTCCCCTCATTTTAGATTTTTGGTGTTTGGTTTCAATTTATTTGAATGGAGAGAAGGTTTGGTAGCATTAATGATGTCATGTTCAGCTCTTTTTGTATAAATTTGTTATTGTATCCATATCTAATATCAATTTTATTTAATGGGCTTTCTTTACTTAATTTTGACAGGGGCTAGCTGAGAAGGAAGCACCAGCGCCTGCTCCATCTTCCCAAACCCAATCAGCCTCGCAGTGAGTTTCCTTGGAGAGGTGATTTTTTTTTCATTTGCTTTGATTGATTGTTTCACGAGTCTTTTTGTTAATATGTTTGCAGGGTATCTAAGAAATCAAAGAAGTGAAACCTTAGTCTTTCTCCTGCAATTCCAAGGGGATTACATTATGTTTGGTGATCCTTTGTTATCATTTTTTGTTGTTTTAATTACAAGTAGAAGAATACTATTGAATTCAAGACATTGATGAGTTCACAAGCATTGTTATTATGATGCGTCTTTTGTATTGTTTTTGTTTCCTCTATTCTAACTATGCTCCTTTATGAAAAGAAAAGGTTTATAAACAACTGTTCTCTTTTGCCAACTTAGTCACGTGAGAGACGATACAGAACAGTATCTGTTTTGGTCTCTGAAGAATGTTGGCACCCATATCAACTAGGAGTTAGTTTTTTATTTTGTAAAAAACTTCAATGGTTTCTTTTGTCTAGTAAACTTCAATGGTTTCTTTTGTCTAGTTTTCTGGGCTCAAATAAAAACATTGGCTTGCACCACTAGTAAGTATTTAATGATCATATGCGAAGGTATAGTAAAATGTTAGGCGTAAAATGTCGAACATTTGACCGAGGGAGGATATAAACTCTGGACGTAATGCATGCATGCGATCGTTAATGCGAGCATGCATGTAAAGATATTGAAAATAAGGCTTTTCTAAACTCCTCAGTGCATTCCACCCTAACCCAACCCAACCCTACGCCTCCACCCTAGACCCCCTTGGTAAAAGGGGAATCTAAGGTGGCTTCGTAAAAGGGGAATCTAAGGTGGGGGCGTATGGGTCAGGTTGAGGCGGAGAGTTTAAGAAGGGGAATATGGGTAAGGACAATCAATTTTTTATTTGGAATACTGGGGAACTCTCGATGAGCAATTGTCATCCCGCAATATAAATAGCCCGATAAAAAGTGCGTAAAAAGGCTTTCTACAAACTGCCTGCTAAAATCTCGGAAACATCTCGAACCTCGAGAAAATAAGGATTTTAAAAGGTTATTTTTTTTTCTTTTCCAACATTTTATTAGGTTAAGAAGGTGAAGAAGAGTGACTCTAGGATTGTGATTACGGCTTTAGTTAGGATCCAGGCCGGTTGCTCTTATTTTACTATTAGGATTAAGATTTGTACTCTTGAAATGAATGATATTTTTTTGTTTTGTTACTCGTTTAGTTAAGAATAATGTTTAGTTTACTCCACCAAATGACTATGGCCTTGTCAAAACGGCTTAACTAATTTACCTGTCTTCCCAAAATAGTCCAATTTGGAACAAAAATATACCCGTGTTAAGCATAGAAATTAATTATAAATTTTATAGGATGAGTATACAATAAATAAAAACATAATTTAATAATTTTGAAAGTAAACAAATCAGATTGTATAAAATTATTTAAAAGTGTACTCCTTATCATCTAAATAAAATATTTAATTAAAATTATACAAGGTAATATAAAATTACGAGAAAAAACCCATATTTTGCATAGAAACGAAACCAATTCAGTTTCTAACCTTTTTCTATGCACGGGTAAAATTTATATAGCGAAACAGTCATAGCCGTAAACAAATACTCACTGTCCTAAAATTAACTTCTCATTTGACTTTTTATGGTATCCAATGTAACACTTTGATCATTAATATATCTCTATTATTATATAAATATATATTACAAAAATAATAGTATATTTCAAAACTATGTTTCAAAATAAATATATTGATAAAAAATTATATGAAAATCCAATGTATTTTTTTCTTAATATGCAGTCAAAAAAGTTTGACTGCAAAAGTCAAAGTAAGAAGTAATTATTATTATTATTATTATTATTATTATTATTATTATTATTATTATTATTATTATTATTATTATTATTATTATTATTATTATTATTATTATTCATTCGATGTACATGGGTTGACGACCGCAATGATGCAAAGTGTGGTTCAAAATTACGAGTAATTGATTTAAACAAAAACTCAGTACCACTATTACTCAAATAATGTACTGTTCCAGAAAACCTTTCTTTTTTCTTTTTTCATCCGTCTCACAAAAACACTTCTCATTTTTATTGAAAAGTTATTTTTACCTCTTACTTTTTCATATCCTACCTATCACATCATATCTTTTTACTAATAATCTATTCATTAAATTATATTTTTACTCATCACATCAAAGGACATTTTTGGAAATTCAATACCAAAATACACTCTCCTTAAATCCCTTCCCAAAATCAAAACTCCCATGTTTTCCGGGACGGAGGTGGTATAATTTAGGTGCAGATGGCGCTATGTATCAATGTTAAATGTCAATAGTATTTTCAACTCATTGAAACTAAACAATAAGCTAATATCAAATGAGCCCTGTGTTGGAAGAAGAAAAAAAAAGATTGATATTTTTAAGATAGGCTAAAAAGGAAGTGTGAATATGATCTAGCGACAATGTGTAATCGAATTGCTCTTAATTGGTTTCAAGAGTATTGATTTCGTTTGTTCATAATAAAAACATTAACTCGATAGACTATGAAAACCGTCTAGCTACGGAGTACATTATTGGAAAATCCTCGGGTAGTAACTATAAGTTCAACAAGATATTACACCTAATTAAAGTTCTAAGAGCACGGGCAATGGCAAGTAACGAAATGGAATGTCACACGTTGACGTGGCACATTTCAACCAATAAAAGACAATCCAGTCAGCGTGTGACAAGTGAGTGGAGAGGCATCTCGTACAGTGGCAAGTCATTATTTTTGTCAATTTTTATGATTTTTAAAGCATTTTAATTATTAAAAATTATTTCATTTATCTTTTTTATATAGATGTACTCTTTTTTTAAAAAATTATTTTTCTAAAAAAAAAAATTGAGGATGCCTCACGCCTCACACGCTTGGCGTGGAGGGAGGCTGAGCCACGCGAGGCAAAAGTGGCGAGGGAGCTGATGTGGCGCAGCGAGCGAGGAAATGCCTCGCCGATGCGCATGCTCTAATGATGCTCTGTTTAAAAATTTAATTATTAGCTTTTTATTTTGTCAATTTGAAAAATTAATTATTATTATTATTATACAATCAATAAGTGTGATAAAGCATTTTGTTTTAGTTGTCTAAGCAGAATTGTTACTTTTTTCGAAAGGAGACTAATAGTGAGGTTGAAATCAAGAGCGTTTCTTTGGTGTACCTTAGGCATATTATTTTTGTAAATCTTTTCACATTAAAAAACTTTTTTTAATTTTTTAAATTTAAAAAAAGATACTTATTTAAGTAACAAGAAAATATTTATTTTGTTAATATGTAGGTTTATGGGGGACCTGGGATCTACCATATAATTTACCTGAAATTAAAAGAAAAGATACTAGACAGTGGACACTCGTTCTGTTCCCAAAAAAACGATATTTATGAACATTACAGGTAATTTAAATGCTCGATTACAAAACCAGAAAACCCAAACAAATACCTAAAAATAGTGGCAACTAATTAAACAAAACCGTAGACTGGAACTGAGGTCAATTTGGGACCTTTTTTTTCTTCTTGGAGACGAAATCCCTGGGATCCATACGAACTTCAAAAAGCATTTGTTCCCAAAGAGATTCAAACTGCTCATGAAACCCTTCCTGAAACCAATCCATTATTTCCCCAAACAGTTCCTTCGGGTTCGTCTCCCACACTTTCTCCAGCGTGACACGACTGTCGATTCGACCCGCCTTGCTGCTCTTCATTCTACTCAAGAGATTCCCAACCCGTTTCACACCCGAAGCTTCCGGTCTCAAAATGGTACCTGGTGGGGCCGCCATGAACTTCCTCGCGGGTTTCAAGCATGGCAAGACTTTACCTTCAAGCAATGCACATGCAAAGACCGTTACCCGTTCCGTTTTACCTTCAAGCGGCCGAGAATGCAGCGGGAGCTCCCACAAGTGGGTCCCAAAAGTAGGCTTGACCCAACAGAGGACCTCGTCGGTCAAACGGTTGTAAAACGGTTTTGGGTCGGATAGCGGGGCAGAAAAATGGCACATGGACTGACCGTATTTGACAAGCCAGCTTGCTTCCACGCGCGTTGCCCCGTGGATGTACGGCCTCTTTGAATGCATGAGTTCACTGTAGACTAGAAACTCGGGTGCAGACTTTGAAACGGCCGACCGACGGTGGAGGAATACGGTTTCCGTTACCATGCAAGCCTGGTAACGGACCGAAGTCGCTTTCAGATCTTCTTGGGACAGACCTGAAACTCGTTTGATTCGTCGGGCAACCCGGTCAGGCCAGCCTGCAAAGATAGCTTGTCCCAGTATCTCCTCTTCATTCAGTTGGAGAGACTTGTGATTGCCAGAGCAATCCTTCCAAGAAGCTTCTACGTCCTCAATTGTTCCATGACCCCATGAGAAATCCTCCAGCCCTTCACCGTTTGGGTCCATTTGAAATCCAGATACTAAAAAAAGAATATTCGAGGGAATTAAAAAAAAGAATTGAGGGAAAATAAATTACTCCAAAACTACATGAATTTGTTTCAGAGCCCGTTGGTAGTCTCTTTGGGTGTTATTACTGTTGTGCTACAGTCACACACTACAGATCACACCAAGAGTGACACCGCATGATAGTCCCACACACAATGAATGCGTGTGAGATTATTTCTGGTGGCGTCGCCCTTGGAGTTGAAGTAGCATTATTGTAAGAACAAACAACTCTTGACTTACTTATATGGCTAAAAGTAGTTTAACTCATGCTTTTAATTCCATAATTTCAACCATATTTCAGGCAAGTAATCATTTCAAATTGGGCTCTTAGTATATAAGATTATTTGATTTTGAAAAAAAAGTAATCATATTTTTCAAGCAAATTATATGGTGCGTGCTAGCATGCTCATTATGAAGCACGCTGTTAAATATATGCATATTTCACAACCCTTTCCATTTCAAAGGTAAAACCAAACTAAATTAAATAAACTCTCATTATAGCC